GCAAGGATAAAGGGGGGGGATACCGATCATACTTTAAAATTTTGTTTTCAAAAGACCTTTCCCATTTTCCCCGGGGCCATAAGCAAGTCCAAATTTGCAAAGATGTTGATAAAGACAATTTGTTGGGAAGTGACCCTTTTTTTTAATGTTTTTTTTTTCCCTTCCTTGTTACTGGACTTGCGGTTTTTTATTTTTTTATTTATACCACTCCATTTAATTTTTTTTCCCCGCCTTTCCCGTATACGTAATTTTTTAGACGGTACGCAGGAGCCCCAGATTTTTACCAGCCAGCCAACAGCTGCCGTGCCGGAAGGGAATCTTTCTCGGAAATCGGGCCCCGAAAGAAAGAGGGGGTAAGACTTTTTTTTGGGGACTAATTTTTTAAGGGGGCAAATTTAAAAGATGTGTTGTGTTCCCCTAACCCCGTTTCCCCCTGATTCCCTTGTTTTTTTTTTTTAGCTGGGGTTTTAAAGCAAGGGAAAAGTGTGCTAGCAATGAGGAATGGGAAATCCCGGAAGTCCCCTTCCTCGGGGGTGTTCTGGATGGATTGTAAAGGGGCGCCGCCATTTTTCCCGGGCCCCATCCCTCTGAAAACCTGTGTTAAACTGCAGTCCCGGTTAGAAGCGAGCCTTTTGTACAAGGGGCCAAAGAAAGTAGGCGTCTGCACATTTGGACCTGCCCGGAGGGGGAAAGCCTTTTCCCGTTAAAACCCCCAACCCCGAGGAAGCAAACGGAACCCCTTCACGGACTTTTAATTTTTAGAAACGCATGTGTTTGGATCGCTTTGTATATAGTTGGTGTGTTTCAATTAAAACTTTTTTCTTTGCATAAACAGCTTCCTGCCCAAATTTTTCATTTTTTTGTTAAAAAAATTTATTCATGTCCTTGATGGTCACATAATAAAATTTTTGTAGGTTTTTGTTAAAGGGTAAAAAAAAATCCCCTACCCATATGAATTTTAATTTTAAAAATAAAGAATGAATAAATTTTATGAAATAATAAAAAAAATAATATATTTTTATATATGAATAAAAAATTAAAAATGTAATTTTTTATGTAAAATTTTAAAAATTTTATGCCCAACCAATCCAAAAAGCGACTTTTACTTGTTTTAAAAAAAAGGGGTTGTTTTTTTGTTTCCAATACCAGTAAAAAATTAAAGTCCCCGGCCGGTTGGGGCCCCGTTTTTTTGGGTTTTTCCTTGGGCCCAAACCCCGATCGATTTTTTCAAATTTTTTTTTGAGAATAGTGGGGTTTTAGCCCAAAAACTGAGAAGGTTTAATTTAAGCCAGACCCGGCCAGGGCCGCCCCGGGGGTTTGCTGCATTATATTAAAATTTGGGCCATTAGTACAGCTGATCGGGTCTCCACATACGCAGAGTCCGTTTCCGACAATTTGGGCACGACAAACCGCGACAAGGGGCGGGGCCCCAAATTGTCGGAAAAATTGACCCCCCCCCAAAATTCCCGGGAGATCTGCGGGGGGTTTTAAAGGGGTTTTTACGGGGAACGGGAAAAACTCACTTTTCATGCAAAGGGCAGCCCCCTCTTTCATCATCTCCAATAAGGAATGAAGGGGTTCTGAAAAAACAACCCTACCATTCTTTTTTTAAAACCCCCAATCCAAAAGCCCCCCCACCTCCCCCTTTTTCCCTTTTCATGGGTGGTCTCAAAAACGTCCGCCAAGGGTAACCAAACACACCATAGGGGCCCGCACCGCACATTTTGAGGGAAAAAAAAGACGTTTATATGCGTCTTATAGTCCCGTAAATACGGTAACTCTTTCTAGGCTGCCATTCCCCTATGTGACAAAAGACAAAGGGGGTGTGAGTGAAATTGGAGTTTTTCTGTAAAATTGACAGACGGTAGTAGCCACGTTTGCTCAGCCATGTCTTTGTCTAAATACGTCGGCGCCTTTTCTTTTTAGGGCTTTCATCACAGGACTGCACAAATTACAAAGGCAGTGCATTTCACTCTAGTGAGCTCCATTTTCCTCTTCTTCTGGTTTGGCTTCATTTAGAGAGTAACGCCATCTCATTATGGAGCTGAGTCAGACATGGTTTTTAGACGTACAGTGTGAGCAGAGCGTCGTGTTGCATAGATACATAGAACATGCATTGTGATACATAGGTCGTACAGTGTGAGCTATAACTGCGTGCAACGGTGTACAGTCATGGCCAGAAGTATTGAGAATGACACAAATATTATATTTTCACATGATCTGCTGCACTCTGGTTTTCATGTGTGTATGTCAGATGTTGTCATCACATACAGAAATACTATTGCAATCATATTCTGAGTAACAAAAGCTTTTAATGACAGTTAGAATGAGTTAATGCAGTGGGTCAATATTTGCAGTGTTGACCCCTCTTCTTCAGGACCTCTGCAGTTCTCCATGGCATTCTCTCAATCAACTTCTCAATCTGCTTGGAAGTTTGTAGTGAATCTGGGAAACATTAGCCTGTCTTAATCAGTTTAATACATTTTCCCCTGAGATTTTTCAACAGTTAGCTTCCCTTCGCTCGCTAACAAAACAGAAGCTGCTGAGTTAGACATGGCTCTGACATTTGTTGGGACATGGAGGTTTGTATTTGAAGAAGGCTGGAGAAACTTCGCTCAGCTGCTGTCACCTTTGACAACGTAACATAAAGCCACAGGAGTCTCTCCACCTCTCTGAGGAGGGACTGAGGTCATATGAAAAGTAAATAAAGTGTTAAACTATTTTTGTTGTTAAATTGTTGAACCAAACTTAGTTTAGAAAACTAGAAACTAAACAACTGTAATATCATCTATATAACACTGATATAAAGTGGAGATTCTACTTTCATTGAAAATATTTTTTTGAGTCCTGGATGTTTGGAAAGGTGAAGTGACAGCATCTGTCTGAGTGTCATTGGGATCAGAAAGAGAAACAATGACCTTGACAGGCTGCCACAGTTTGTTGAATTAAACATATTTGCAGTTTTTTTCATTTTGGTAAAGAAAAGGAAACGTCTGACTTAATTTTACAGTGATTTCAACATGTTATTGAGGCACCACTTATGCTGATCAGGTAGTGACAGACTGACCAACCAGCTGGATAGAAGGGGGGGTTCAAAAACTGTCTAAGTCCTTCTAATTCAGCTTTAAACCTAAATCTTTATACAAGGGTGCAAATAAGCAAATGCTTTTTTTTTTCTTCTGACCCCCCCAACACACATGAATACATTCGAAAGATAGAACCAAGTTTAATAACATCTTTAAACAAGAACTGACACAAGATAATCCTTTAATCACTTCTTAGAATCAGAGAAGATGCATGAAGACGACCTTCCTGTCTATTAGTTCTCATCAAAGTTGTCCTGATCCTTGATAGCAGCTTGTTGAGGAAGGACGTATTCTGCTGAAGGTTCCCCTAAAATAAACATACAGCATCTTTATTCACAGCTTAGAGTGTTTTGAATGCATCAGCAGCTCGTACTGCACCTTGTTCAGCATCTGTAGAGCCTCTCATGGGTTCATACTCTGAAGCATCATCTGTCATATTGAAGAAGTAAACTGTTACTCATCTCATTCATGAGTGTTTATAGCTTTCCTTCATGTTCTTGATCACAAAGACTAAAAATGAGCAAGATAGAAACCTGACCAGCAGCAGGTGAGGAGTGGGGATGCTGCTGACTCTCATCCTGGTCGACTGCTGCAGGATGTTGGAGCCTGGAGTGAATAAAGATGCTTATTAGCAACAAAAATCTATTTCAAAATAAGATCATATTTAGAAATAAAAACGTCAAACGTACTCAAAACATACATCTGAAAAGAAGAAAAGAATTACGAGAACTCCAAAAAATAAACTAAACCACATCATGACCTGCAACAATGTAGAGGGAGAGTTAAAAGCATTAGGCGACCAGAGGCGCACCTTGTCAACAGGCAAACCAAGCAACTGCTTGGAGCCCCGAGCCGCTGGGGGGCCCCCGAGAGCCAGCTACTGAACACCCGGTAGATAAACAGCAACAGGCGAGCATGAAGTGGCAACGCTATAGTGACTGAGGAGATGCACAACTGCATATAAAAATTCCGATTGGATGGAATGTTGATTGACATTGGCTTTGGCCAGTCAAAATCCAGCCCAGCCCAGCCCAGGTGGATGACTTCCCTTAATGAAAATGAACGTGGCCTAGCGAATGGGTGACGTTGTAGGCCTATCGTTCAGTAAATTGGAAAGCAATTATGTAACTAAGCTGACGGAAAATGATTCATTTTCCATGTCTCAAGAGAGACTTTAAGGACTGGCGCTTATTTCCATAGAATATAGTGTGCAAAGGTCTTTGGATCTGGAGGACTTAGTGTCTGCATTTGCACAAGAGAAGGCCCGTAAGCAGCAATTCTGGAAGCAGTATAGGACACCAATAATTTCACGACACGTACTATACTTTATATTTTGTACAAAGTTTATATTGGGTTTTTAAAGTAATTTACTGTTTTCTTTTATTTTATTATACATTTATTTTAATTTATTAGCTTATTCTTTACTTTTATTCTTTTATATTTTCCAAAATAACAAGGTTGTTCATGTTTAGAACATTTGGAATAAAAAAAAAGGTTTTATTTAATACATTTTTCATTGGTGTCAGATTATTTATAGCCTAACATAATGGTGATGAACACTGGTCAGTAGGGCCCCCTGGGATTTTTTGCTTTGGGCCCCCACAGACTCTAGAATCGCCTCTGTAGGCGACAGTGGGCCAGACCTTCATCTGGAGTCACAAGTTTACATTCAGTTCAACTTTTACTGCAGCCTCCATTATATCCAACATTTAAGATCTAAATCATTTTCATTATATCCCTTAATCTTAGATCCTCATTGCTTGTTAACTTCATTATTCTCAGTTCCGTCCCGAACTTCATATTCTATACTTGATCAAACTGATGTATATTTATTTACCAACAGGCTCTTGATTCACCAGCATGTCAAACATAATGTGTTCATTGAACCACAAGGATTCATGTTTCTGAACATACCTTTGTTAGAGAGGCTGTCAGTGTTTCTACACCTCAATGTTTCTGATGCTGACATCTCACTGACAACATTAGAGGCATTGCAGGTGACTGTTGTGTCTCCATCTTGTGGTGTGATGTGGTAATGCAGCTTGGGGCATTCATGTGGTTGGTTTCCTACAGTCAGGATCAGGAAAAGTAGTCAGAGTCAAAACAAATTAGACACTCTGGTTAACAGTAACATGTTATGAATAAACCTTGAGAAAGAATGTGGTTTGTTATGGGAAGAAGCTATGTTTGGTCTACAAACACCATCATGCAGAGAATGGTGTGGCCTTCAAGGTGAAACAGACCCTTCTCCTCATATTAGTTAATCTTATCTTCAACATTTTTGTATCGCAGCATTAAAATAACTTCCTTGAGGAGAACAGAAAAAATGATTTTCTTAGCATAAAATCAAAATTTCTCCTTGGGGAGTTGACAATTCCCTAGGACCCTCAATCTTCTCAATCTTCTCTCCTCAATCGCCTAAACTGCTGAATTAAATTTATAGTTCATGTATTTATAGAGTCTATATGAAGGAAATAGAACAATCAACCAAGTAAGGCTCAGCATATGAGCTGATCAGCTTTATTACAGTCTTTCTACCCAAACTACTCAAACTCAGTCATCCTGGTGTTCAGGGTGCAAATTTAAATCTCATATCAAACACAGAATCTAAAATGGACACATCTGTATCAAATCACTATAAACAATGAATTCTATTAGGCTTAAAGTTTATTGTCATTTTAGTCATTAAAGATAATTCTCTCTACTGAAGCTGTTGTTGTTATCAGTGTTTCATTAAAGGTTATTTCAAAAATAT